TGGAAAGGTAGAAATAACAGACCATTATTTACCCAAAGACCATCCAACCATGACACATAAAACAATCGGGAAAAGAACCAGTACATATGGCAGGTAGAAATAACAGACCATAATTTACCCAATGGCCATCCAACCATAACACAGAAAATATTGGCCAATCGGAAAATAACCAGTACACATGGCAGGTAGAAATAACTGACCATGATTTACCCAAAAGCCATCTAACCATAACACAGAAAACATTGGCCAATCGAGGAAAGAACCAGTACACATGGCAGGTAGAAATAACTGACCATAATTTACCCAAAGGCCATCAAAACATAACACAGAAACATTAGCCAACCAGGAAAAGAACCAGTACATATGGCAAGGTAGAAATAACAGACCATTATTTACCCAAAGGCCATCTAACCATAACACATAAAACATTGGCTAATCGAGAAAAAACTAGTACAAATGGCAGGTAGAATAACTGACTATAATTTACCCAAAGGACATCCAACCATAACACATAAAACATTGGCCAATCAATGAAAGAACCAGTATATAAGGCAAGTAGAAATAACTGACCAAAATTTACGCAAAGGCCATCCAACCATGACACATAAAACATTGACCAATCAAAGAAAGAACCAGTACTCAAGGCAGGTAGAAATAACTGATCAAAATTTACTCAAAGACTATCCAACCATGACACATAAACCATTGGCCAATCAAAGAAAGAACCAGTACACAAGGCAGGTAGAAACAACTGACCAAAATTTACTCAAAGACCATCCAACCATGACACATAAAACATTGGCCAATCGGGAAAAGAATCAGTACATATGGCAGGTAGAAATAACAGACCATAATTTACCCAAAAGGCCATCCAACCATAACACAGAAAACATTGGCCAATCGAGGAAAGAGCCAGTACACATGGCAGGTAGAAATAACTGACCATAATTTACCCAAAGGCCATCCAACCATAACACAGAAAACATTGGCCAATCGGGAATATAACTGGTACATGTGACAGGTAGAAATAACAGATCATAATTTATCCAAAGGCCATCCAACCATAACGCAGAAAACATTGGCCAATCGAGCAAAGAACCAGTATACATGGCATGTAGAAATAACTGACCATAATTTACCCAAAGGCCATCAAAACATAACACAGAAAACATTGGCCAATCGAGGAAAGAACCAGTACACATGGCATGTAGAAATAACTGACCATAATTTACCCAATGGCCATCCAAACATAACATATAAAACATTGGCCAATCAGAGAAAGAACCAGTACATATGGCAAGGTAGAAATAACTGACTACAATTTACCTAAAGGCCATCCAACCATAACACATACAACATTAGCCAATCGAAGAAAGAACCAGTACACATGGCAGGTAGAAATAACTGACCATAATTTACCCAAAGGTCATTCAACCATAACACGTAAAACATTGGCCAATCAGGGAAAGAACCAGTACACATGGCATGTAGAAATAACTGACCATAATTTACCCAAAGGCCATCCAAACATAACATATAAAACATTGGCCAATCGGGAATATAACTGGTACATGTGACAGGTAGAAATAACAGACCATAATTTATCCAAAGGCCATCCAACCATAACACAGAAAACATTGGCCAATCGAGGAAAGAACCAATACACATGGCAGGTAAAAATAACTGACCATAATTTACCCAAAGGTCATTCAACCATAACACGTAAAACATTGGCCAATCAGGGAAAGAACTAGTACATATGGCAGGTAGAAATAACTGACCATAATTTACCCAATGGTCATCCAACCATAACACAGAAAACATTGGCCAATCGAGGAAAGGACCAGTACACATGGCATGTAGAAATAACTGATCATAATTTACCCAAAGGCCATCCAAACATAACATATAAAACATTGGCCAATCGGGATATAACTG